TGGTAGGCTGGGGTTGTAGCTTAGTAATAGAGTGCTCACCTAGCATGCATGAGGCACTGGGTTCGATCCTCAGCATCACATAGAAATAAAATAAAGATACTGTATCCACCTAAAATTAAAAAAATAAATATTAAAAAAAATTAAAATCAATTGTGCTCTAAGGAGGCCCCAATGAGGGAGGTGACTGGTTCATCAGGAGGGCCAACTGAGGAGCTTTGTAAGTATCTGAGACATTTTATTGTCATTACTGTGGTGGAGGGTGGGTTAGGTTCTACTGCTCATTGCACTCCATAAATTGGCAAGAAAAATAGGTTTTATCCAAACTAGTTTTAAAGAAAGATAGAAGGAACTTTTATGTTAAAAATTTGCATCTTTGCAAATCCGAAGATCTAGAAAAGCTTTTATGAGAGATGACAAAGTGGGGCGAAGGACAGGAAATAAATGTGTGCAGATTTAGTTAGACTATGCTAGACAGGGAACACTTCAATGGGGTCAGGAGGAGTAATTTCTATTCTCAGCTTTCTTGGTGTGTCCCTGGGGTTGGGGAGGAAAAATTCTTCAGCGAGTACTCTGAATATGAGGAAGTTGCCCCTAATTTCAAAAGGGCTTTTAATTTTATAGGGCGTCTGCTTTGCTGCAATCTGGCAAAGTCTTTGCAGCATGATCTTTCACCTTGGCTAGTTTTTCAGATTAGAGGCAAATGAAAAAGAGAGATTTTTCTTCAGAAAGGATTGTGACAGAGAAAAAACACATGAGAGTGATCTTGAGATAAGAACCCATGAGGAGGTCCCACGAGCAAATCCTGCTTATGGTCAGCAAAAAGATGCCAGGGTGTGTGGCACAACCTTTTCCCTGTCCTTGAGCAGGGTGGGGACTCCACATAGGAAGGTAGGAGAAAAGAGAGGGATCAGAGTACAGATGTGTTGTTTCTATTCCATGAAAGCACACTGTTTCTTTTAATCCAGGTCCTCTTAGGGAAGGGAATCCCCTTAATTTGTTTTTGCTGGGGGTACCCCAGGTTTGTCCTCACAGTAACCTCCCATCTTGCTGTGGGAAATCCCCAACTCCAGTGGGGATTATTCTCTGCCCTTTTCCTTCCATGGAAACAACAAAACATGTAAGAAGAGCAGGACTATAAAATAAAGATATGCATTTGAACTCTTGCTGACCAGCTGCTACTGATATGACTGTGGGTGAGTTGGTGACTTTCGTATCAACAAGGATACTGATGCTTCATGAGCATGCTGGAACCATAAAGGATATGACATCTAAGAATCTTAAGTTCCTGGAACATAAGTACTCACTAAACATTACCTTTTTGTTGTTCACTTATTTATTCATTTATTAATTCATCATGGATTCAATAAATATTATTTCCTGTGCCAGACAGCACTAAAACAGACTGAATTTGGGGCTCCTCTGAAATTAAGAGCAACTTCTTTACCATGACCTAAGAATGGAAGCTGAAGGTCTGTCTCTCCTGAAGAAGCTGAGAATGGAGATTGTCCCCTCCCCAGGTGTGTCTAGCACAGGCTAAATCTGCACAGGTACATGTCCTGCCCTTGGTCTCACTTCCCTGCTGCTGCTTCTTTAAAAGCTTTCCTCTCCTTTCGAGATTTAAAAGATGGAACTTTTGAAATAAGTTTCCTCTACCTTCCTTTAAAGTTGTCTTTGAAGAAAACCTATTTTCCAATCAATTTGACTCTGAATATTTCTGGAGCAGTGAGTATTATTGTAGCCTAGCCTCTTCCCCAGCCTGGTAGCCCCAGCCATCTGTAGCACTAAAACAGAGCTGAGGGTAGAAGTTCACTAAAACACAATCACGACCCTTCAGATTCCTACTGCTTACCGGGGTAACAGAGAAGCAGATGGTCCTGCTGTGTGGAAAATGTGCTCTAAGAGGTTTTTGGAGGAAGTATGGGAGGACAGAAGAGGGTCACATAACCCCAAATTAGAAAGGAGTAGAAAAGATTTCCTGAAGGAGATGCTGCGTACACTGTAAGTTCACATACTTTGATGGTATGAAAACAGACTTAGGGGGAAGGCATGCTTACTGGCTGAGAATGTCAGAGGGCTTAGTGTGTTCAAAGATGTGCAGGGAATTCAAGGAACCATGAATGGATGCAGTTATGTAGAGATCTGCAGCTCCTGTTGGAGCCGTGGGCATATATCTGGTGGCAGTAGGAGATCAATATCATTCTTAGGAAATGTCATCCCCAGGAATGGAGCCCTGGAATGCATCCTCCTGTTGCCTCTGGCCAGTGTTCCTGCTCCCCCCCCCATACTGCACTTGCTGGCACCAAGATACTGTCAGGAACTGAGGCAAGAAGGACAGAGAATGAAAGGGCATGAGGAGAGAATGATCTGATTTGCAGCAGCTTTACCACCTACTCTCCCTCTTCCTGTTGACTTCCAGCAATGATATGAAGGTGTAAAAGTAAAAGAAGTTTACTCAAGTCTGGGTTTGTGTAGCTTTTCCTTTCTTTTTTTCCATACCCTTCTCCCGTCCTTATGCTGCTTCAAGACTTTCTGTTTCCCTTTCATGCTTAACCTGAGTTGAAGCTTTTTGCCTGGATACTGGGGACATTTAAGAATCCTCAAATCCTATTGGACAGTGGGTGCAGGGCAGCCACAGTTTAGTACCATCATTTTTAATCGGAGGGTCTAGTAGTTAAACAGTAGGGTCCAGTGGTTTCAGATATATATCATCAGCATTCTTCCCTTCATACTTATCCTTTGTGCTTAAAACAGTATGTCCAAGTGTGGGGATGTAGCTCAGTGCGATGGTGCTTGCCTATTGTGCATGAGGCCCTGGGTTCCATTCTCAGAACTGAAAAAAAAATTCAAAAAAATACATAAAATATACTTAAGTAATAATAATTCTTTACAGTTTTATTAACTATTTAATATAATTAGAGCTTCAAATGAAAGATATGGTTTATACTAGGCTTTTCCGATATTGGAATGAGCTGTTGAATTTCCTTATGGACACTCTGTAAATTTATATTCTACAGGATGGACCTTGCTTCCTCCAGAATAAAATGAGATCATTTAAGATCTATCATTTAGTGAAGGTACAGTAGGTAGCCACTACAAATACAAAAAACAAAGCTGATATATTGGAATTTTTACAGGCTTCTTTGAAAAAAAAATCAAAGTACTTTTAATAAATAAATTTTTAACAATATTGGTTCCATGGCAATGTCCTGAGAGTTTGTGAAAAGACAGTGATACATTTGGAATGTTAGAAGGATGAGAGTGATGGAGTGAATTTCCTGAAGCTACATATTTCATGCATGCTCCTTTGGTTTCAATCTAAATCTAAAGAATGAGGCAGTTTGCAGGTGCTATAGCTGCTGGGAAGGAAGGTACTCTGAAGAGAAGCCACCTGGTTACTTGGCTCTGGAGTTCTCTTTCGAATCAGAACTTGGACTGGCTGCCTTTAAGGAGAACTGGTAGTGTAATAGTCCATCCTGGAGAATGTGGATTTACAGAAGTGTCCATATAGAGTAAGGAAATTCAACAGCTCATTCCAATATCTGAAAAGCCTAGTATAAATCATCTTTCATTAAAGCTCTTATTATATATGTTCTTTGTCTCTTGATTTCAAAGAATGAAATCCATGGATAAAAGGGTGAGAGCAATGTAACAGGATTTATTAGAGTAATGAGGAATAAAATTGATCAAATTATACAGTTTTATTTTGTGCATGTATGAATATATTATAACCCCCCCCCAAATAAAATTGCTTGGTATAAAACGAAATCTGACACCATACTTCCTCTTCTCCATGTCCCACACCCAATTAAAATTCTTATTTCTAGGGCTGGAAATGGAAAGATATTTTCCATGGGGATATAGATTTTGCATCTCCAGTGGACACTTCTTGCAGGTAGATGTGTTTCTGGAGGGAATGGGGTTTCTGAAAGTCAGGGGATTGTTACCAGTATTGGCCCTGCCAGCCTTAGGGTCTAGGTTGGGCATATGGCTCTGGATGGAGGAGACTAGGGCTTGGCTTCTGCCTTTACTCCAATGTTCCCTTCATCACTGGATTTCTGCTCCTCTCTTGGGAATTTGGGTTCCTTCCTACCTCTAATGTACTCCTCTATTTCATTGTCTCTTTATTTTACTTTATTTTTATGTGGTGCCGAGGATGGAGCCCAGTGCCTCACAAACTGCTAGGCTAGCGCTCTCAGTGAGCCACAACCCCAGCCCCCTCATTGTCTCTCATGTTTCACTTACTGGTCACTTGTAGGTTTTTCTTATAACCCCAAACAAGTCTTCCTTCTCCATCAGTTCTGGTTCATTCTTTTCTTTTAAACTTGTTCAAGATCATCTCTTGTAGGAGAGTTTCTATGCGTTTAACCTGAATTCATTCAGCATAATTCCCTCAATTTATGGCTATTCCTCATAGCCTATGAGCCATGTGGGTACTGGCCACCTGAGCTGCTGTGGTGGGTACTGGCCACCTGACTAGATCTGCATTAGGTTGAGCTGGTTTCCCAAGAAGAGAGACCATGGTTCCTTTTTCTGGATGGGTAGGGCCTGTGCTTTCCTTGTTAACTTGAGAGATACCTGATGGCAAAGCCCACAGAATCTTCCATAGTCTTCCATCAGACTGCCAGAAAACACTGTGTTGCTCATCATCTTAACTGCATGTGAAATTCTGACTATCTTCTAAGGATGAGGAAGCCCCATGCCCGCCATCATGGTTTCTTTCTTCATTGGTGTAGGAGAAAGCCTGAGTGGGGGGAGGGTTTCCGTGTGTGTGTGTGTGTGTGTGTGTGTGTTGGATATGAATATATATGATACAGGCATTTTCTCTGAAGAATTTGACTCTTATCTGATGAAACAACGCAACCTCCTCCCAGCCTTAGTCTCCCTAAGGACAAATCTTGAAAATTCTCATAAAATGAACTGCCTCAAGACCAAAGCGACTGTCTACTGGGCATTTCCATCTGTAGGTTCTGGGCTAAACCTTTTTCCCCTTCCAAAGCCACTCAGTGCCTGGCTTGAGTTCTCCCCAGACTCCCCAGGAGCCTCCTGGCTGCCTCCTTCACTTCCTTATTCCGGAGAGTGTAGATGAGCGGGTTGAGTGAGGGCAGGGGTGACCACAGTGTAGAAGAGCGACACGAATTTGCCCCGCCCCTGGTTGTAGCTGTGCGTGGGCTGCAGGTAGGTATAGATAGCAGAACCATAGAACAGACAGACGGCTGTCAGGTGGGAGCCACATGTACCCACAGCTTTCCTCCGGCCTCCGCTGGACCGCATGCTCCATATGGCGTGGACCACAGCGCCATAGGAGGCCAGGATGACGATGGATGGCACCAGCAGTATAACCACGCGGGCGGCAAACATCTGGCGCTCGATGGTGTCTCTGCCGCCGCTGCAGGCCAGCTTGAGCAGCGCGGGGAGCTCGCAGATGAAGTGGTCCAGCTGGAGGGGCGCGCAGAGCGGCCTCGCGGCCAAGAGCGCGGTTTGGGCAGCGGAGTTGGTGAGACCGCCGAGCCAGGAGGTGCCGGCCAGCGCGCGGCAGAGGCGAGGCGAGGCGAGACCCGCGTAGCGCAGCGGGTGGCACACGGCGGCCGCGCGGTCCAGCGCCATCACCGCCAGCAGGACGCACTCAGAAGATCCCAGGGCCAGCGACGCGCACAGCTGCGCCATGCAGCCGCCGCGGGGCAGCCTGAGCGCGGATCCCCGCAGGTTGGTCAGCAGTGGGGGTACCACGCTGGTGGTGAAGCCGGCATCTACCAGGGCCAGGTGGCAAAGGAAGTAGTACATGGGCGTGTGCAGACGCGGGTCGCGCATGACCAGCAGCACTAGCGCACAGTTGCCAGTTAGAGTGAGCAGGTAGCAGAGGAGCACAAGGGCGAACAGGACTGGCTGCAGGGAGGGCCAATCAGAGAATCCCAGCAGGAGGAAGCGCTCCTCTGTGCTGCGGTTGGCCTAAAAGGAAAACTCCAAGAATATTTGGAAGGACGGAATAAAGGATGACACTACTTTACAAGTAAAGGAAAACCCGGGATGTGGGACTGGGGAAGAGCTGAAAGCACACAATAGTACCTATAATACTTTATGGATGGTAGTCCCATTTACAGACCTGAACCCTTAGTTTAGTTGCCACGTGCCAGCATTCCTTGTTTTATATATTTACAGCATCCTCTGGGGGAGCTAAAACGTCTATTTTATGAATGTACAAATGTGGGCTCAGAAATGCTCATTAAGTTGTCCTAGGGTTATATTGAGTCAGTGGCCTTGGGTGACTTGTACTCAGTCCTGTCTGATTTCCAACTCAGTGGTATTTTCAGCTGCCTCCCTAGTTCTGGTTGCACTCCCAAGGACCAAGGAAGAAATCTGATCTTCCTTCTACATCAAAGCCCTTCACATTTGTGAAGACAGATTTCATCCTGAGCCTCCCTTTCCCTCTTTCCTGGTAATTGTATAATCCCTAAAAATTAGGACGCTATCCCATGCTTGCCCGAACTAAGAATTTATAGATCAGAATTATCACCTTCCTTGTTTTAGGTACTTCACGTTTATGGAGCTGGGGCCACCTCCTAACAGCAGACAAAGGCTGTTAGATCTCAAAGTCTTGTTTGACTTGTGAACACAAATGAGACTTCATTAAGCTATTTCTTGTAAATACCTAAAGAAAAAGAGAACTCAAATCCAATTACTTAGAACCAGAGAGCAGATTTATATACCTAGGCTCTTTACAATAGGACAGATTTACTTCTCTGTTTGCCCTATTAAACTCTCCCTCTTGTGTTGCCTCTTTTGACTTTACTGAACTACTTCTGGACTGGAGCTGCTTTAATCATGAATAGCTGTTGAAATAAACTTTAAAATGTTCTTGTCCTCAGTTTACTTTATTTCTGGTGGTGCTGGGGATGGAACCCAGGGCCTTGTGCATGAACTGTGTCCCCAGTTCATCAGTCTACTTTTTAACACAACCCATGATTCTGCTGACAAGTGTTTTTAATAAAGTCTGCTTTACAGTGTCCCTGCCCCTCTTGCCGCAGAACCTGCATGTTAGCCTTGAAACCAAGGTTCAGTCTGTGGAGGAAAGAACACTTTTTGGTAGACCAGAAATTGGGAGACCTTAGTCCTACCTACCATAGCTTCCTCTGGATGATTATTTGATATGGGGAAGTCACTTCATATCCCTCTGCTTCAATTTTATCACCTGTAAATTCAGGAGTTTGAACTAGATGACCTTTTAGGTTTCTGTCCTATCCTGAAGCTTTATTATCAAGCATTTCTCAAAGTAATGGAAAGGGAATGTGGGGAACAAAGGGATGTCCTCTCAAGGGCATTTTGATCCTTGAGAATGATGTCGAATTAAATATCCTAATGGTGCAGAAATGATCATGATTAATGAAATTTCCAAAGAAATCTTTCTACTGCAGGTTTCCTGGCACATATTATGATTTAAATAAATTTGAAAAAAATTTTTGGTGGTGCTACTGGGAATTGACTTCAGGCCTTCACATATGCCGCCACTGAGCTACATCCCAAGTCCTAGATAACTTAATAAAATATCACATTCACTGCTTATAATTTAAAAATCATAATCGTCTTATTTTTTAGGAAAAGAATTCATTTTCCCCAACAAAACATCTTGCTTATATGGTCCTCTCATTTTAGGCTCATTATACAGAACAAATATTAATGTTGTGAGTAAAAACAAGGGCTCAGGAGCTAGATTGCCTGGTTTTAAGTCTTGATTCTGCTGTTTCCTAGCTGAATAACCTTGGACATGTTATTTAACCTCTGTACCTCCCCGCTCTCCTCCACCCCCATTTTCTTATTGAAAAAAAGTAGTGGGTGAAATAAGTTAAATAAAAAAAAATACTTAATATAGTGCCTGGCACATATTAGGATTTATCAAATGTTAATGAGTATTATTATTTTACAAATCAGGAAAGAAATTTCTTTGTTTTGGGGCCTCAGACTTGTGAAGCACATATTTTAATACTGAATTACACCCTCCAACCAAGAAACAACTTTTTAAAGGATTACCTCATTATATGGTTACAGAACTGATATTAAAATTCCATTTTCCTTTTATATATTAACTCTACTTTTCGTTTATTTGAAAAATAGACCACAGTCTTATTTTATAGAAGATAGGAAGGTAATCAAAATTAAATAACTTATCCAAGGTCACATTGTTTATAAATGTAAAATAGGATTTTGACTATGATCTGACTAACACCAAGGTCTTTGCCTTTTTTTAAAATTATGCAAAGGTGTGAACTCTATTTTTAGATAGTTTACAGAACTGGATCATACTGGGAATGGGTGAAGTATAGGATGTTACTTTTCAGGTTTCCGAGTCAAAGGTGGCTAGAAATGTTGAGTTACAAAAAGTCAAATTCGTTAGAATTTTGATTACATAGCCACACACTAGTTTAGTTAGGTAAGTCCTAAACTGCTCCTCTCCAAATATTTCACACGATGAACACAGGCACACACTCATAAAATTGCACAGATAACATCCTTATTATATGTATGCACAAATTCCCAAATACAAAGCTCTTAACACTTGTGTACACACAAATGCTTACACATACACACCATCATTCTTCTTATGTACTCAGAATGCAAATTGTAAAATACATTGTATAACTTACCTGTAAAGCTCACTTGGCTTTCTAGAATATGTCTCTCAGCTGCAAAACCATTTTTCCCCCACGGCAATGTAATAACAACTTACCTTCATGTCTAAACTCTGGCCCCAATATTTAGACCTTGAGTTTTCAGATTATACTTTGGTCTCTTATGCCTGGGTTTGAAATGAAAATGAAAGATTAACAAAAGACCCACTTGTATGATTCTGTAGATTTTTGAAATGAGTGCCTGAGGTGACAGCTAGGCACCTCAGGAAGGAGACAGGAGATGGGTGTCATCTTGCCTGTGAACAGAGGAACGTATAGAAAATCTGGAAAGAAGGCACCTAACTCTGTGAAATGTGGACCCGGGGCAGAGGTGGTGATGTCTGTTAGTGCAGAGCCCTGTGGTGGGGTACAGACAGGGCAAGGATTTGTGGTGGCAGCCAATCAGCATTAGCTGGTGGTAGTGGTGACAAAATTCCTAAGGAATATAGAATTTGGAGCAAGAGGAGGATGTTGATGAGTTCTCACTAGGGGGGAAACAGGGGACTCAGCTTTACCTGTTATTTAGAAGAGATGCCAGAGCTCTGGGGAATCTGCATCCTACTCTCATCATTAGTGCTTTCATGGAGGTGTCCAGAGAGAAGTCCCCCAGGGTCAGGAAGGGGAAATTCTGCAGAGAAAGTCCCTTCAGGGTACTATGTCTCTGGCAGGGTGTTGAGGCCAGAGGCAGCATAACTTCCTTTTAAGTTTTAACTAGTTTTTTTCGTTCTCTGACAAAGTGACTTTAAACTGGCCACTTATCTTCAGTGATTTTCAGGCTCATCATCTATAAACCATGGAGAACAATGCTGACCTGCTAGAGATGTAGATTTGTTGCAATCATTCTCAGTTTTGAGTACAGCTGTGACTTATGTCTTCAGCTTTTGCCTGCCACCCTCCTTGATGCTCTCACCTACCTTTCATCCCCTTCACTGTATTTATCTGGTCTCATTCTCTTTTACATTGTCTCCAGCAAGGCTTCCATACTGAAACTACATTTATTAATAGTTGCAAACGACCTCTGCATTGTTACACCCAGTGGTTAGATTTTTGTTCTGATATCTCATATCCTGAAAAAATCAGGACCATGTGATAGAGCAGGTCTTTCCTTTTTGGAACACAGTTTCTACTTGGGTTCAGCAATGGTGAAGCAGAGGCTGGCTATCTGGTGAGGGCCTTTACTCTCTGGCATTTCATGATGGAAAGCAAAAAGGGCAAGAGATGAACATGAGAGAGCAAGAGGGGTCCAAATTCATTTTGTAACAACCCACTCTTCTCACTCACTTCTGCAGTAATAACATTAATCCATTCATAAAGTCACAATCCTCATGACCCATCATCTCTTATTAAACCCCACTTCCCAACATGGTTGCATTGAGGATTAAGTTTACAATACATGCTTTTGCGGAGAACATACTGAAACCATAGTACCCCATTTGTAATCTTAGTATAATGCCTGCCTTAATGCAAAGTTGCTGGGAGGATTGGAGATGATGTATGCAAAACTCTTGACACATAGTAGGACATAGGAAAACTCTTCAGCAAGAGTTGTGCTTCTGAATACTTCTATCATCCATGTTCAGTGTAAATGTTTCCTGACAACTTTACAAAGTCAGGAAACACTAAACATTCTCATTCCAATAAAATATTTGCTCATTTTTTTCTATTTTGTTAATGTTGCACTGTATATATAGCTTTCAGCACCAAGAATATCTAAAATTCTATGCTTGCCTGAGGTCAAAGGACCAGGCTTACCAAGCATACCTGTTTAAGCTCTTGGGTATTTGATCAGACTTGCCGTTTTATGTCTTGATTACTATTAAATCACTAGGCATCCCCTCTTTTCCTTAAACACGCTAAACTCATACTAAACATGTACTATCTGTTTTTCTTCCTGGAATAATTTTCCCCTTTACTTGTCAAGGACTGTCCCCTTCTTACTTTTTAGAATACATCTCAAATAGGAGTGGAGGCTCAATCCTGGCTTAGGAGGGGATAAGAAGAAATCAAGCAGAAAAGTCAAGGCAGGAAGGATCTGCAGGTGAGAAATGCTTGTGGATATTGGGAGGTACATGTGGACCCTGTGTATGTTTCCTAAGGAAAAGTGTTAGCTTAGGGTATTGCCAAGCCCAAAGGGAATTAGCAATAAATATTACAATGAGAGAAAACCCATTAAATTATAGGACACTACAGTTAGTAAGATCCTTTATGCCCATTAACTTATTCCCTGCCCTGACTTCCACTTCCAAGTCTGGGAGAGGTAAAGGCATTGTGGTAAGTAGGGGAGGAACATAGAGTGACCTCTTCTCCCAGTTCCTCTGTAGGTGGGCACTAGTTGG